CTGTATCTTCAGGTAGAAGGAGGGAGCGGCAGTATCAATATCCACCGCAGTATGCTCAACCCCAGGGTTACCCGATTTAGTATGCTCCGCCTCCATATGTAGCTGCTGTCGCACCATCTTTTAGTCAGCAAGCTCCTCAAGCTCCTGCTTACCAGCCTATGCCGCAGGCTCCAGTGTATCCGCCTCCAGTTTATCAGCAACCTCCGCCTAGCTATCAACAAGCGTCCAACGCTCCTTCAAGTCAACAACCGAGGAATCAGGCACCTCACCAAAATGCTCCGAGGAGGCAATACAAGCCTTGTCTGCCAATTCCAATGATGTTCACTGAGTTATATCCTTAGTTAGTGCAACGAGGTTTGATTACCACTAGAGATGTGAGTCCACCTCCAAATCCTTTGCCAGCCAACTACAACGCCGCCGCTCATTATTTATTTCATGAGGGTGCGCCAGGTCACGATTTGGAGAACTATTATGCTTTGAAGAACATTGTAAGGGATCTGATGGAAAAGAAGATTTTGTCTTTCAACGATCTGCCGCCCAATGTTAAAAGCAACCCTCTGCCTAACCATGAGGATGTTAGCTCTGTTGGCAACTCGTCCGTTGAAAAGTCTTATTCTTGATGTAGCTTGGATCAACATAGCTGGGGCAAACAAGACGACTCATTCCAGTGAGGCTCCTCCGGCGGAAACCACTACTACTATGCCGGTCTCGAGTACAAAGACTTCATAAACATTTAGAATAATTTTTCCGACAATTCATTTGTTTATTTATATGTATTTTTCTTTGATTAAGCATAATTAACATGTACGAACTTGGTTATTTCGAATAATTAATGCAATGCATATTTGTCTTTAATAAATCCATTCGTTTCACTCCAAAAATTATTTTTCATAATCTATAATGCCAACTTTACCCTAATCTCTTGCTTTGATAGAGAATTGGGAGGAGGATGATGAACCAAAACATCAGATCTCTTGTCGTATGCTTCCAAATGAAACATGCTGATGATGTAAGGCATTGTTTCAAATCCCAAACACTGGAGACATAAGGATGATAACCCCTCTTTCACCTCTTTGAGCCTTGAAGCAGGAGTTTTCTTTTCAAAATAAGAACCCTAAATTTTTCAACCCGGGGCAGGGTAGTTTTTCAGTTAAGCTGATAGAGCGCTTAGACCTTCAAAAATAAGGAGCAAGCCTTCGAGAACCTATCCTTAGCGTCTTAGGAGGTCAAAAATGCAATGATCATCCCTTTACTACCTAAAAAGTGGGGCAGTCACAAGTCTTTCAAAAAGAGTCACACGACGTATTCAACAAAAATAAAAGTATATATAGCCCGTTAAGTTACAACCTATGAAGGAGACTTAGGCAAAACTGGGGCATCCCGCTGGACTCCAATGTCAAATAAAAAAGACGTCGTCCAGGCAAAAGTTAGGGAATAAAAGAAAAACAAAATAAAGGATTACCTTAAAAAGAACTCCTAATAAAGAACAAAGTCGTGTGACCCGACGCCATTAGAAGTAGGCGAGTGACTGCCATGTCCAAAGTCGTTAATGAGTTATCGACCATATCGAATATGATTGAGATATGAGTGCTCGCATCCGATTAACTGAATAGGATTGGAGAATATCACGTAGATGGGATGGGTACAAACAACTTTGAGCCTTTATCCTCGTTTCTTAAAACCGTGCACCAAGCCACGATACAACCATTAAAAGACCTAATTGAAGTAGGATTTCTTTTGAAAACGTACTCGACGAGATAACGTTTCCTGACTCCTACGAGCTATGCTCAATTTAACGTTGGCATTATAAAATAAACTTATATCCTAATAGTGATTTCAGTCACGGGTTATTGCGATACCTTTTTCAAAATAAAAACAAAATTTTTCAAGACAAATATTGTTGCATTGATAGTTTCAGGATATCATTTAACGCGTGTTGATTTTGCTTGATATCTTAGAAACTTACATACATACGTCCACAATGGAACTCGGAGATCCTGCTAAACAGAGGCAGGTGGTTTCGAAATCGCTTACCAATGCGAGCCTTACATTCCTAAGAGCTATTTCTTAAAGACTCAGTCGTAACACAGTTGATCCATGCCAGTTACGTAAAGCTCAGACAAATCTCTCCAATGAGTTTGAAAATAGTGGGGCAATCGGACCCTATGTTCTTTATAAAATCCTCTCGAGATGACTTTCCCACAAGGCAGGTACCCTAGGGCATGATACTTTTCAAAATGGCGACTACTACAAAGTCCATTAAGATCAAAATTAGCTTCGTTTCACGACATTCTCTATGCACCCGATGGATTTTACTCCCGGCGGTCCTCATTCCCCAGTAAATCTCATCGTTGCAGAATCTACATCTTAACCATTGCCTCAACACAGTCCCTAGGGAGACTTTAAACTAACACAGTCCTCAGAGAGACTTTAAACTGACACAGTCCCCAAAGAGACTTTAAGTCGACGCAGTCCCTAGAGAGACTTTAAGCTGACGACACTTTGGACCAAGCCGGTGATCTTCAAGACAACAGAGATCATACCAACATCTTTCCAGAGTTAGTCCCCAGTGAGACATTAAGCTGACAACACTTTTAGGATCCATCTGATAAAACCCCAGTGACTCTCAAGACTGCAGAGATATCCTCCAAGTGATATGTGTTCTTGAAGACCCATTCTCAGCGGAATTATCTGGTCCTCAGTGAGGGTGCCTTACCTTTCTCAGGAATAATCCCCAGGAGATTGCCATATTCTCTCCAAGAAGCCGAGATACTTTCCCCAAGAATGTCCGTTGATTTCTCCCCAGTAGGTCTGATGAACCCTCTGCAGGAAAGTTTGATATCTTTTATCCCTAGTTCGATGTACCTTGTCCCCAGGAAGCCGAGGTACTATTCCCAGGAAGTTGTTACGCTATCTCCATGGAATAATTTTAACAAAGGCATGGGCTACCAAGTGTAGTTGGGAATGGGCAATGTTTAAGCGCTCTAACACTCATTCCTCAAATTCGTTGAAGGGCAACCTAAATTTTAGTCGAGACAAGATGCATTAATAAAAAAGGATGAAACACCTATCAAATTAACTGCAAATCTTTTTGCCAATGTCGACATGTGAAACCAACAAAATAAAGGACATACCCTATTCTACATGAGCATCCTCCAATATATTTGCACTACCATAGAAGGAAATCGTCCTCACTAGTTCAGGATCCATTCAACAGTACAGACCAGTGTTCGCCGGCTCCACCAAACCTGCACTCTCAAAACTACAATCTGACTTCCAAAATTAAGGTGATCCCTAATTTCTATATCATTCAGAGTTGCTATGGTAACATCCTCATTTGTAAAAGCCTTGATAGAGGAAGCAAGATGAACAATCACATCCCTCATATCAAGGTTATCAAAGTTCATTTCTACATACTCTTCAAAAGATCCTTTAGTGCTTCCCTTAATAGAGATGCTAGAGGTTCACGACCATTTTCTATAGAACCCTCGCTAGACCCATAACTATTGCTAAGTACAACAAGATTGAAGTTAAGTCGATTAACTTTTAAAGGGTCATCATTTGGAGCATTTGGGTTTTCAAAATACTACAAATGATGGAGAATCCCCACCACCAGGTTCGTTCATCATGTTCATAAACATATTTTCTATATTTTTTTATAGAAAAATCAAGAAAGCAAAGTAGCAAAATGTAATGAAAGAGAACTAGAAATGGTGTGTGTCTGTGTGTGTGAATAAAAAGGCGAAGTGAAGAAATTGTTAAAGGAAAGTGAAACTAAAAAATGATGGTGAATTAGGATACGCAGAACCTAGATAAAAATAGAGAAGGTAGCAAAATTAGAGGTCACCAGAGCTAAAAAATGGAGGAATAAGCTTATGAGAAGAAAGTAAGTGTCAATTGTAAGAAGAAGTGAAAATTGTTTGAAAAGTCAAAACAATCTTAATATAGGAGAACAATAAATCAACGATCAAGACTGAAAAAATGGGAAGATAAAAATCAACGGTCAAATCTCGCCTAAAAAAATGAAACAACACTTGAGTGTATTCGAGCATCCTAAAAAAAAACACCATGCTCTAGTCCACAAATCTAGGACTATATGTAAGGAATTCCTGCGAAACATATGAATTATGAGACTAGTATTTAATGCGCCTGTTCCCCGAATCTCTTCCACTTCTCAACACAAGAATTCCGAAATAAAGAGCCTAACCCAGTTTCTTTAAAGGCTTTCTGTATGTCACATCACGATAAGTCTTAAGAGCAATTGTTCTAGACTGACTATAGACCCAATGTCAAACAAACCTAATTGCCATCCATCATATATAAACAACCACGTGTGCACAGTCTATACTACGATTCTAATTATAATTTAGTCTACCCCTTTATTCACTCATTAACTTAAATATTAGGATGTTAATTTTACATGTTCACCCTAAAATCGTACAAAAGATCTACACAACTATATAAAAAAAGTTATATCAACAATCCTAATTACCTATCAAAACAAATAAAATATAACACATCATAAGATTAAGCTAGAGAACTTGATCAATATGTTTAGAGACATTTCTTTTTTTTACTCAAATAAGTTGATACGGAAAGCTTCGGATTTAGCTTAATTTATAGAAATTTATGACATAATTTTTTATACAAGTCATCCGATTAAATCACATTATTTACATATCCGTAAAAAACATAATTTGATTGGAGGCAACTGTACCGTACATGGAGTACATAGCAATTAATTAATCTCAAAATCATTTTAATGCGCGTAGACATAGAAAATTTAAAGTAATAAAAATTACAAAATTCCACAACAGCAATCCGATTCTTGAATTTGTAGTCAACGTGGCACCGCGTTTTCTGTCTCCTTTTTTGTATTTTAGATTTTTTTGTTTCCCTTTACAATCTTGTTTACCAGCTCTGGCGCAGTCCTGCTCTCAATTTAAAAGCGCTTTTTTCAAAATCGCGGTTGCGTTTTTAAATGGACTTTTCCGCTACGAATGAATCACTTATCTCGAATTTTCGCTTATAGAAAGCAACCAACGGATATGAACTCCAAGAAGAAGACTCCAAGGAAACAACAACCCAAGTTAGAACGCCGTAATGCAGCGAAGAACTTCAGTTACGATGCTCAACCGTCGTCGCCGGATTCCTCTCCGTCGTCGTCAATTCTCTACACTCGGTCCATGGATTTTTACGATCGAACTAGCTTTCGAGTTGAAGGAGTCGACGGTGAATTTGATATTATTTGTCGGAGTCTCGGGCTTAACGGACCGGAGGATTTCTCGATTCCGGCGGCGGCTTGGGAAGCGATGAAGGTTCGATCTTCGTCTGATGTTTTACCGAGGTTGAACATTTCGGAATTCGATGAAGCGAAGGTGGATGATGAAATTGTAGTAGCAGAGTGTGATGATAGGGTTTCACTTTCGGTTAGAGATTCTCCCGCTGAGACTAGCGGTTGCTGCAACATAGGTGATGGTGGTGGAAAAGATAGGGTTCAGATTAGGGGTTTTGACGAGGTTAGCAGTTGCTATTCCGGCGGTGAAAATAGGGTTCCGATTAGGGATGTGGATGAGACGAGCTGTTGTTTAAACACTGGCGGCAGAGGTATTAAAGGATTTAGACCTCCGATGCTTAAGCCGCCACCAGGAGTTAGGGTTTCTGTTTTGGACAGCACGTGTTCCACGTGGGATCTTCTGAGGGATTTTGCTCCTGAAGGGGAAGGAAAAGGAAGAGGAAAAGGAAAAGAAGAAGAGGAAGGGAAGAAAGAAGAAGAAGAAGAAGGGGAAGGGGAAGGGGAAGGGGAAGGGGAAGGGGAAGGGGAAGTGGGTGATGTGATATTGAAGAGAGACGAGGAGGAAAGTGCTGAGATTATTGATGAGTTTTCGAGGTCGTGTTCCTTCACTACCTTCACTACTTCACAAGAAGATGATTCATCGAGCACTACAACGGAGCCTAGGTCCAATAGTATATCTCCTAATGTGAGATTGAAACCTGTTATCACTCCTGGTAGCTGGCAAAAGGGTGAGCTTTTGGGGCGCGGTTCATTTGGATCTGTGTATGAAGGAATTTCTGAGTAAGAGCTTTTCTGCTTTCATCATCTTTACCTGCACCCCTTTTTGTTTCTATTATTAGTATGTTAGTTAACTTTTGCCATTTCATTAATTTATAAGATAATTGTTTGGAATCATGGTTAATTTGAGGAGATCACAGTGGCATCAAGTTTTTATTCAAACTCCAAATGGTAGCCTTTATCTCACAGTGGCACCACTTGATTCTACTAAATTCGTCGCTAAACCAAACATATGAAGATAAAATAAAAAGAGTTTGCATTAGGTAGTGTTTAGTTGGGAGAAATTGAGGGAGAGATTGTTTTAAATTTTTTTTATAGCTCAGTTATCTTTTTGGAAAGGTAGGGGAGGAAAATCCTGAATGAATTTTTGGCTCCCTTGATATTTGAGAGATTTAAAGGGATGGACTGTGTTTATAAAGCTTTATACATCAGTGATTTAGAAATCTGTTTTTTTTTCCTTCTTTTCATTTATATTTCATAATCAATGATCTAACTTAGGGAACTTGTCAAATAGAAAAGTGTTCTTGGGGGCCACGTCTGATATGAATGTTAGTGTATCTGTCTAATTAAAGGGGATAGAGAAGTATCAAATATTATTTTCAAAGTAAATACTGTTGTTTCTAGTAATTAGAGTTGTCGTTTGAAGCATAGTTGAACTTATTAAGGAAATGTTTTGCACATTAGACAATATGGCCATTCATTTCATCTTGTTTCCATTTATAACAGTGCAAATTGTTGACAGCAAGAGCAAAAGGGCTCTAAACCTTTCTTTTATTCTTTGACAATAATCTACCAAAAATAGTATGATGTTGGCATCCCTTTGTTACACATGTTGAAGTGATGCCTTTTTTGTCCTAGGTTGTCCATTTTGGCACAATATGAAAACCATGGTTCTATTCTGGCATCCCTTTGTTTTTCTCTTAGTTTAGTGGTGAAATTAAGTTGTTTTTAATAAAACTATCATCTAATATCTTCTATTCATCATGCTTCATCTTTGGGTTTGTATCCCACTTTTGCCATAATGCTCAGGAGCAAAGCCCTAAATAAATTGGCATTTACAAAGTTTGATGTTTATAATTATTAGTAAGTGCTAACTACTAGTTTTATTCACTTTCTGATTACAAATGTAGAGATGGATTCTTTTTTGCTGTAAAACAAGTATCACTGCTTGATCAAGGAAGTCGTGGAAAGCAAAGTGTCGTTCAACTGGAGCACGTAAGTGTCAGACATGCTTACTCTTTCTATTGCTTTATAATTTTTTATACTTCAATTTTCCATTAATCAAAATCCTTGTGAAGATAAAGGTTTTCTTATAAATACTTTTCCGCCTTGTGGAATATCTTGAAAGTTGATCAACCATTTTCATCTATTTACATTCTCCTTATTATTTTCTAACTGTATTTTTTTCTTACTCTACTTCGTCCTCACTCTCAGGAAATTGCACTTTTGAGTCAGTTTGAACATGAGAATATAGTTCGATACATTGGCACTGAAATGGTACTTTTCCTGTCATCTCTTGTCTTCTCCTTTTTTCTTTATATGTTCAATTTTATTTGAGCCCATGCCCATGGTGAAAGAATCTGTTGCATATATTTATGCACTTCCATTGAACAGCTTTGGCTTTATGGAGTAGTTGGTTCATGACATTTTCAACTGCTGTTTCCCTTATTCTTTTAGATAGAAGATAAAAGTTATATTGGTGTGGACCCTTGCATCATTCTTGAAAGATTGATGGTTGGTTCATGACAGATTGATTGATACCTTCTGTTGATATGTATAAATATATATATATATATATATATATATATATATATATATATATATATATATATATATATATATATATATATATATATATATATATATATATATATATATATATATATATATATATATATATATAGTGTTGAGAATATTTGTATATAGAATAGTCCCACATCGACTATATCATGTAATTACTTGTATTATATTTATATATAATAATGTCTCCGTAGTGCTTTTCAAAACACACGGTTTATTCAAATGTCTCTTAGTCTCTTGTATTTCAACATGGTATCTAGAGCCTGCTAAGAGGCAATTCTTTCTTCGCCGTGCTTTACCCGGTTGACCCACTGTCTTCCGGTGAGAAATTTAAAAAAAAAAAAAATTTTTTTTTGCAAACCGTGTTGTCACTCCGGTTTGCCTCACTTTTCAAAATTCTTCGGTCATAACCGCATAGCTGCCGCCGTCGTTGCTATTCTCAACGACCTTTCGGCAAACTTTTTCATCGGCAGAAACCTCCACACGCGCCACCTCCGTCTCTGCGCGTGGGCATCCAGCGCCGCCACCTGAAACGCACGTGGCAGCACGTCCGGCCAGCGATCGATCGCGTGATATTTTCTCTTTTCAGATACTCATGGCTACTCCTCAGAACTTTACGCCAAACTACGATGATTTCCTCAGGTGGTATCAGAATTATCAGAACTCAGATTCTACTGCTAAGGTAGCACACACTGTTAATTTATCTGTTTGCCTCTCTCAATCATCTCCTCTTCGACCTTGGGTCCTTGATTCTGGTGCGTCTGATCATGTTACTGGTAATAAAAATTTGTTCTCTTCCCTCTCTACCTCTGGTTTCTTACCTACTATAACTTCGGCCAATGGTTCTCAAACCCGATCCGAAGGGATTGGTACTGTTCAAATTCTACCTTCTCTATCTGTTACTTCTGTCCTCTATGTACCTAATTGTCCATTTAATTTACTTTCAGTCAGTCGTTTAACTCGTTCTCTTGATTGTAGTATCACCTTCACTAATAATAATGTTACCCTGCAGGATCGGAGTTCGGGAAAGACGATTGGCGTCGGATATGAGTCTCAAGGCCTTTACTACCTTTCATTGTCATCTCAGGCATGCTCAACCAAAGATTCTCCACTCACTATCCATGCTCAGTTAGGTCATCCCAGTCTTTCCAAATTACATAAGTTGGTGCCAAATTTATCGAAGGTATCTAATTTACATTGTGAGTCGTGCCAATTAGGGAAACACACTCGTAGTCAATTTCCCTGTCGAGTCAACAAACGAGCTTCGTCCCCTTTTGCTTTAGTTCACACCGATGTTTGGGGTCCCTCGCGTACTGTGTCTACTCTTGAGTCTAGGTATTTTGTCACCTTTATTGATGATTTTTCACGTTGCACGTGGTTATTTTTAATGAAGAATAGATCTGAATTGTTTTCCATTTTTGAACAATTTTATCGAGAAATAAGAACCCAATTTGGTTTGTCTATTCGTACCTTAAGAAGTGACAATGCACGTGAATATTTATCCCAACAATTTCAAACATTTATGTCATCCAATGGTATTTTGCACCAAACATCTTGCCCTCATACACCCCAACAAAACGGGGTAGCCGAACGCAAAAATCGGCACCTCGTAGAAACCACTCGGACCCTACTTCTCCATGGTAATGTTCCTCTCCGGTTTTGGGGAGATGCAGTGCTCACGGCATGTTACCTCATAAATCGCATGCCATCATCTGTCCTTCATAATAAAATTCCTCATTCAATCTTGTTTCCAAACTCTCCACTCCACCCAATTCCTCCTCGAGTCTTCGGGTCCACGTGTTTTGTACACAATCTCTCCCCTGGTCTTGATAAACTATCAGCTCGATCACTAAAGTGTGTCTTTCTTGGCTATCATCGATCCCAAAAAGGTTATCGTTGCTACTCACATACTCTACAACGATACCTCGTATCCGCCGATGTTACCTTCTTCGAGTCTGTTCCATATTTCGAATCCAGCCAAGTTACTACGGAACCTCTACAGGAAAGTATTACCACACCTCTTCCGGAAGTCCCATCTGTCATTATCCCCCATCATTCTAGGGAACCTGACCCACTAGTTACCCCTACGGTTGACCCCCCCACTTCTCGCCCACTTCAAACATATCAGCGTCGTCACCCAAAGTCTGTCGTACCTGTCCCTGAACTCGTACCTGTCCCTGAAGTCGTACCTGTCCCTGAAGTCACTACGGTCGTACCTGTCCCTGAAGTCGTACCTGTCCCTGAGGTCACTACAGACTCTCCTCCGACGCTCTCGCCATCACCGGATTCGGTCCTGCAACCTGAGTCTGATCTTCCGATTGCCCTTCGAAAAGGTATACGTCAAACACGAAATCCTTCTCCACATTATATTGATTTATGTTATCATCGTCTTTCCCCTTTGCAGTATACTTGTTTGTCTTCTTTGTCTTCTGTTTCTATTCCTAAAACTCCAGGTGAAGCATTATCTCACCCTGAGTGGAGGCAAGCAATGATTGATGAAATGTGTGCTCTTCAAAGCAGTGGTACCTGGGAACTGGTTCCTCTACCCCATGGGAAATCTTTAGTAGGTTGTCGTTGGCTTTATACAGTGAAGGTTGGTCCAGATGGCAAGATTGATCGATTTAAAGCCCGCTTGGTAGCCAAAGGATACACTCAAATTTTTGGGTTGGATTATAGTGATACCTTCTCGCCTGTAGCCAAGATGGCATCTGTTAGACTTCTTCTAGCCATTGCAGCCATTCGACATTGGTCTCTTCATCAACTTGACATCAAAAATGCATTCTTACATGGTGATCTTGAAGAGGAAGTATATATGGAGCAACCACCTGGGTTTGTTGCTCAGGGGGAGTCATCGAATATGGTTTGTAGGCTACACAGGTCTCTTTATGGTCTTAAGCAATCTCCGAGAGCTTGGTTTGGCAGATTCAGCACTGTAGTACAACAGTTTGGTATGACCCGTAGTGAAGCTGACCATTCTGTTTTTTATCGTCACTCACCCCAAGGGTGTATTTATCTTATTGTGTATGTAGATGACATTGTCATAACTGGTAGTGATCAGCAGGGAATACTCCAGTTGAAACAACATCTCTCGAAACAATTTCAGACAAAAGATCTTGGTAAACTCCGCTATTTCTTGGGTATTGAAGTAGCCCAATCTAAAGATGGTCTGGTCATTTCTCAGCGGAAATATGCTATGGATATTTTGGAAGAAACAGGTTTGTTAAATGCTAAACCAGCTGATACTCCTATGGATCCAAGTGTTAAACTACTACCCAATCAGGGGGAGCCTTTATCTGACTCAGGAAGATATAGGAGATTGGTTGGAAAGTTGAATTATCTCACAGTCACTCGTCCGGACATTTCTTTTGCAGTCAGTGTGGTAAGCCAGTTCTTAAATTCTCCTTGTCAGGAACACATGGATGCTGTTATCCGGATTTTGAGATACATCAAATGTGCTCCAGGAAAAGGTCTTGTGTATGAGGATAAAGGACATACCCAGATAATTGGATACTCTGATGCTGATTGGGCAGGGTCACCCATTGATAGACGATCCACCTCTGGGTATTGTGTACTTGTTGGAGGAAACCTTATCTCCTGGAAAAGTAAGAAACAAAATGTAGTTGCAAGATCAAGCGCCGAGGCAGAGTATAGGGCCATGGCAATGGCAACATGTGAACTTATTTGGTTAAAACAGTTGCTCAAGGAACTTCAAATTGAAGAAGCAAGACCAATGACACTTATTTGTGATAATCAAGCTGCATTGCACATTGCTTCAAATCCAGTCTTCCATGAGAGGACCAAACATATTGAGATAGACTGTCACTTTGTCAGAGAGAAGATCGAGTCAGGCGACATCGTCACAAGCTTTGTCAACTCTAATGATCAATTGGCAGATGTGTTTACAAAATCCCTACGAAGCCCCAGAACTAACTATAGATGTAACAAGCTTGGTGCATTTGACTTATATGCTAAAGCTTGAGGGGGAGTGTTGATATGTATAAATATATATATATATATATATATATATATATATATATATATATATATATATATATATATATATATATATATATATATATATAGTGTTGAGAATATTTGTATATAGAATAGTCCCACATCGACTATATCATGTAATTACTTGTATTATATTTATATATAATAATGTCTCCGTAGTGCTTTTCAAAACACACGGTTTATTCAAATGTCTCTTAGTCTCTTGTATTTCAACACCTTCCATCAACTTGAAAGAGAACAGATAGTTATCTGAAATCTGTATAGTATTCTGATAGGAATGGATCGGATCCCACAAATGATGATGGGAATGTGTTAGTTAATAGAGATATTATTGGACCTAAACAATGGAGGGTATATGTGAGAAAGAATAGGAAACTCCACAAATAAATAGGAGTTAGTTTAGGTATTATTCTCCATATAAATAGGAGTTAGTTTAGGGATTATTCTCCATATAAAGAGGAGTGTATGGGGCAGTAGTTAGGCATTGATTGATTTTCTGTTTTTGACCTTAGGGTTTGGGCAGTGAGAGAATAGTTTCTCTGACTGAGGAGCAATAGCTCTGGAATTTATTTTACTTTCATATTAATTAATAAAATACTTTTCTTTATTATATACCTCTGTTCTATCAATTGGTCCGACCTACCATTGTTCATGCCCAAAGCTCCTAAGATGGCTGACCGTGT